TTAGTCAAATGTATTGACAGCAAGCATTGAGAATACATGGCACTCAGATGGCCTATCAATGATCAAGACATTGCTTAATATGTTTAAGAAATAAGCTATATACAGGCTCTGTGGGAGCTTATAATACACAATATAACAGTTAGCTGGTCACCCACTACCTAAATGTACTGCAAGAGTAAGTCTACATGCAAGATTAGGTTCTATTGACTGTATGCATTATCATATTGGAGGGAGTTTCTTTTACTATATTTTAATGAACAACAAGAATCATTACAAAGGAATGTTACAAACAATCTGTGATGGTCATTTTTAGTCTCAGTCATTGTTTCCCATTTTTATGCAGGGGTATGAGTAAAGTCCTGAGCATCAGACAAGGTGATTTTATGTAAATGTTGTCATGTTTAATAGGTAAGGTGATGCAGATTTATATTTAGTATATTTTTATATTTTTCTTTCATAAAAGTGGTGGTTATTCAAACTTCATTGGACTACAAGCAATACATTTTTGGCTTAGATTATTAAGCCTTTCTTCTGCTTTCTGAAGATAGGGGAAAGATTTTGCAGCATAGAAAAGATTTTTCAAAGAACTAGTTTGCAGGAGGTTTTTCCTGACCATGACTGTGTGCTGGTGGTATTATTATGCTTACCCTGACAAATGCTGCGGGTTATTATTGTGCTTACCCTGACAAATGCTGCGGGTTATTATTGTGTTTACCTTGACAAATTGTGAGTTAATATTGTGCTGGCCTTGATACTTTCTGGGGCTATCACTTTGCTGGTCACAACACTTGCTGGGAGTTATTGCTGGTCCTGACACATGCTGTAGTTTAGCTTTGCTGGGACTGACACCAATGCTGGGTTGGTTATTATTACTTAGGCCGGCCATACATTTGTCAGAAAAGCGGACCTAAGAATAATTGGCCGATTTTAGTTCTGTCAGTGGGTCAATGGCACTGACCGATTTTCGTGGTTCTTCCCCTGTTCGGTGATCGGCATATTGGAAAATTTGTGAAAAACACAGATTTTTCAACTCAATGATGGTCAAATCATACAATTGTTTTTCCAAAAAGAATATGCGCATGAGCCGTGACCTGGAAGGAACAGAAGTTTTCACCTGTTATATGGGGTGAACTTTATGACTTGTTCGACCAGTTTTCGAAATCATTGATGGCACCATCGGATTACCGAGTGAACGATGTTTACGATTTTTGGACGAAAAATCGTTATGAATTCAAACCATGTATGGCCTGCATTACACTCACAATGGGGCTTATTTTATTGCCACAGCCTATTCAGTGTACCCCCAGCTCTGTTTTGTCTAACCCATAGCAAAGCAAAAGAGAAAAGGTGGCACAGCTCAATCCATACACTATAATTCAACACTCACTTGTGATCCCGCCTGCTTTTTTGCCATGCCCATTACGCTCGACCAATTTTTCTCTCGGCCCCTCTCAGGAAGAAAAAAAAAATCTACTCCCCTGCATATATGCATTATATAATTTAGCTTTTTGCCTGGAGTTCTTTAATAAAGCCATATGTTATACATTCAGTAAAAGTTGCATTGTCTTTAGCTATTATTTAGCACTGAATCGGTTAAAAAAAACAAGGAATATTTGACATGGCAAGTGCTATGTATTGACTGCATGTTTTAATTTTCACATACACCTTAAAAAAAAATATAAACCTTTCTAACACACTTTAAGATGCGTTTACAAGATTGTCGGTTTGCAAAAAACACTGATTTATTAATAAAGTAAATGCTATAAATATATAACTTAAACTAGCAAAATTGCATTGTTTTCAGACACACTGTAAAATGTAATTATAACCCCCCCCCCCCCCCCCCAAGCATATTTTTGATTTTTTTGAGAAGAGTTATAACCTCAGTCAGGTTTTTGTTGCTGTCCCTGTTGTGGGCAGTTACCCTCATTTTCTGCCCAGTAACCAAAGACAGTAATATAACCTGATAAAGGTGCCTACCCCTCCCAATTCTAAATAATATTTTGGAGAGATTTGCTCTCTTTCTGTCTCAGTGACCACACAAGAAGTACAAGAAATCTTCCCAAGGGCTACAGAAATCATGATAATAAAACCGACAGAAGTCCTAACCCCTTCTGGCCCCACAAGATTGTGAATGGAATTGTGCTTTAACACTTGGAAGTTACTTTAATCTACCAATACTGTGGACTACTAGGCATCAAGTACTGGTACTAAGTTCTGACTCAGTGATGCCTTGCTGCAGGCTTTGATTTCATTTTCTCCTGTATTCTTTGTTTGAAATGTTTGCCAATATTTACAAACACAGGGGGCTTTAGATGGTTTTATGGAGTCCTGGGCTGCTAGATATGCTTCATCAAAATAAATGGAAAGCGTGGCTAGGTACTGCTGTTACCTTCGGTTCACACGTAATCCGGCTTTGAAATCGTGCGACCTAACTTGAAGTTGTATGATTGCAAAGCTGTATGTCAGTGCAATTTCAAGTGCAACTTGGCGGACATCTGTGCAACTTCATGCACAGATATTTATGCAAGTCACACCTGAAATCGCAAAAAATTGTGCAGGAACCTTTTTTCAGATCAGTGCAGTACCGTAAATTTGGAGTCGCAGCGACAGTAGGGTGGGATTTGAAACTGTCAAATTGCATGACAAGTCACATCGCTGTGAACCTAGCCACTTCATGGGAAGAATAAGAACAGAGCTGTCCTTTAGATTGGTTGGCAGAGCTGCAAGAAACTAAATTACACACATTTATGCTTTATGAAGTCCTGTGCCTCAGGTGAAGGGTGGAGTCTATGAAACGTATTTGACCCCCGCCCCCACTGTTTGCAGGTGATTGGCTGATTGAAGTGAACATCTTATTCACTATGTGAACCTAAATCATTCCCATAAGAGATTGCATATGTAAAACTTTGTTTTCATTTTTAAATAAAATAAAATGTACAGTACTTTTTGGATTGCTTTAAAATGTGTAAGAATAGTCCACAGAGGTCTTTTGTGTTCAATCAACTTTACAAAATGTAAAACATTTTACAACAATTAAAAAAAAAAATCAAGGTTTTAAGACAAGGACACATTTTATCATTTTACCATCACCTTTATACCAGAAACCTCAGAACATGTAAATCTTATTAGTAGCACATGAGAGACCCCTATAGTATATTTTCCATGCTGTCATCATAATAACTTAATTTATGAAGAAACATCGTGCTTACAAAGGATGCCCTTGTCCTTTACCATTTCATTTTGTGGCAGTGATAGCAACTTGGAACATCGCAATTGCTCAAAGTCTAGCCTTAGAGCTACCATATGCCTGTTTTGCCAGTTTGACAGTTCTGGTGGGTAGGTCATTTTTTGTTTTAGTAAAAATTATTTTTAAAAGTGAACAAACAAGTAACAGAACATATTTCACCTATATCTATTTAAAATCATCAATTATGCTGGAATAAATATGTTTCATTGTAGTTTTTCCAACATTTTTATTATAAACCCTGTAACATGCAATATCAGTTAAATTAGTAAAATAAATGACAATCTATTGGCTGAAAATTACTGGTGAAGTGATAGAAAAGCGTTTCTTTATCTACTGTTTATAAATAAGCCTCTGAGACTTTCTGGTTTATGCTCACCCTAATGGATGTTAAGTGTTTTGTTTGCTAGGTAATGTGATATGTGACAGTAGTCACAGATGCTCAAATAAGGGGTCAATTCACTCTGTACATTAGCAATAGACCACTGGGTGCATGACTGTGTTTAGATAATTTTCTGTAGTGTTTGTATAGCTGTTACATTTTCTTTTTTAAAAGTAAACTAACTCAGAGTTTATTGTTGCTAACTATGTGGGGTAGATTTACTAAAATTGGTGCACTCAGAATTTGGTGCAGCTGTGCATGGTGGCCAGACAGCTTCTAACCTCAGCTTGTTCAGTTAAGCTTCGACAATACAACCTGGAAGCAGATTGGTTTCTATTCAGAAGTGAACCTGATTTTGCACTCTAAAGCTTTAGCAAATGTGATTCCTAACCCATTTATAGTGATTATTTTTATTAGCACATTAAGAGCCCATTCACATGGGTGTTAAGTTACAAAAGCTTAAAGTAGAACTAAACTTTTCCTGGGAACCACACACTGAAAAAACTATTTAATTCATTTTTAATATTCAAAGTAAACTCACCTGTCCATCCGTGTCTCTGTGCTTTATTTTGTTGAGCCATCACATTGAAAAACACCCCCCCCCCCAGCATTTCTAGCCATGGCCATTTTATGTAAGGGCAGATGAATCATGTAGTATTTAATGCCTGGAATCCATCTGCCCTTAGCTTAGGCATACAGGCAGGAGGGTACGCTTAGCTGAGAAAGCCCCTCCTACCCTTCTCTAGTTGAAAGAAAAAAGTGTCCATGAAGACTTCTGGGATATTTGGAATCATTTTGGCCTAGGCCAGAAACCAGAAAGCAACTTACAAAAAAGTTTAAAACAAGTAAATATAATAATATACTTTCCTATATATTTACTAAAGCTAGCAGCAAAAAAAAATAAACATAGTTCAATCTTATTGAGAGAGTTTAGTTTTCCTTTAATGCCTCTAGAAATATACTGGCAAGCATTTGCATTTTTCATCCACCATTGTGCAGTTCTGATTACTTTTTTTTGTTATTCACACAGAGGGGTTATTTACCAAAACTGGAGAGTGCAGTATCTGGTGCCACTCTGCTCAACTCTAAAGTTTTTAAGTCTACCTGTGTACATGCATCTTTTGTTAGAACTAGTATTGCTGGAGGATAATGGGAAAGTTATGGAAAGGGGTCTGCTTATTTAACCGCCTCCCGCCCGCCATATAGTACAATGACGGGCGCAAGACGGTTCTCTAGTTCTGGGAGGACGTCATATGACGTCCTCCCATTCTAACCGCGCATGCACGGTTCCGGGAGCGCGCAGCGGACACAGCGGATCACCGATCAACGGAAAGAGTTGAAGATGTCGGCTCGGTCATGTGATTAACTGTGTCCAATCACAGCTGATCGCATGTAAATAGAGAAATGCCAGTTATCGGCATTTCTCTCCTCACGAGCTGTCACGCTGACAGCTCGAGAGGAGAGCCGGTAATCGGCATATCTCAGAGGGGACATGTACACTGATCATCAGAGCACCGATGATCAGTGTGCCCTGATGATCTGTGTAGCCCCAGCAGTGCCACCTGTCAGTGTCCATCAGTGCCAGCAGTTAGTGCTCATCCATGCCACCTGCCAGTACCCATCAGTGCCATATCAATGCCACATTTCAGTGCCTACCAGTGCACATCAATGCCACATATCAGTGCCCATCTGAGCTGTCTTTCAGTGTCACCCATCAGTGCCAGTCAGTGCCACCTATCAATGCCAGTCAGTGCCACCTATCAGTGCCAGTCAGTGCCTCCTATCAGTGCCAGTCAGTGCCGCCTATCAGTATGCATTAGGGCCACCTATCAGTGCCCGTCAGTGCTGCCTATCAGTGCCGCCTAACAGTGTCAGTCAGTGCTGCCTATCAGTGCCACCTATCAGTGCCGCCTATCAGTGCCGCCTATCAGTGTCATATATGAGTGCTGCCTTTCAGTGCCCATCAGGGATGCCACCTACCAGTGCCTCCTCATCAGTGCCCATCAGTGCCACCTATCAGTACCCATCAGTGATGCCACCTACCAGTGCCTCCTCATCAGTGCCCATCAGTGCCACCTATCAGTGTCCATTACTGCAGCCTCATTAGCGCACATCAATGAAGGAGAAAAATCACTTATTTACAAAATTTTATAACAAAAACTAAGAAAAACTTTTTTTTTCAAAATTTTCAGTGGTTTTTTTGTTTGTTTAAGAAAAAATAAAAAACCCAGAGGTGATTAAATACCACCAAAATAAAGCTCTATCTGTCACAAAAAATGATAAAAATTTCATATGGGTACAGTGTCGCATGACCGCGCAATTGTCATTCAAAGTTCAACAGCGCTGAAAGCTGGAAATTGACCTGGGCAGAAAGGGGGTATACGTGCCCTGTAGGCTAGTGGTTAAATGTAACTATAATATGAGCTTCAGTGCATGAGTCCACTGTTCATACACATTTGGTTAGATCAGTATGACTGAGACCAGATAAGCTGCAGGCCATTCCTGTCTGCATGATTCTGATTTTTCATTCACTGTTTAAGGGGAAAAGCTAATTGACCATTTGTCCTGTGCTGCTCCCTTCAGCGACATTAAAAAATGAAGTAAATTAGACTTTAGTCTGCTCTGTCTTTCTAGGACATTGCACTCGAGCAGGCTTGTTTGTATACAGTATGCGAGAGGTGTATTCCAATCATTAATAAAGCACTGTTCTTATTCTATCATGTGCTCTAATTGCCAGGAAAAATGTTTTCCATTATAAGAGTTACTGGTATAACAAATTAAGTTTTTCGCTTCTGAAATATTTTTTTTTAAATTAGCTTGCTTGTATTTTCCTGCCCTCTGTACTCCTACAAATACAGACGCTGTATTTCACACAGCACATATATAAATTGAAAAAAAAAAAACAGTTTTGCATTTCTCATTGCATTCCATGTTTCTGTGCTCATTGCACACTAATTGTATTGTTTCACAGACACAGCATCTTTTCAGCTGATCCTTACTATCTGTATACTGTAGTCACCATTTCTGCTGATGTTGCTAGCAAACAGTATCAGGAGTAAGGGGTATGCGACACCACAGAAATAGAAACCAGTGGATAAACATAATTTTTTGGTAGGCATGCAATACCTTTTATTTTTTTAAGGGAAGTTATCCTGAAAATGATAGGTTTTAATAATGGTAATCTCTTGTCAAAACGATGGCAACTATTGCGAAATTTAAAATATTAATTTGGCTTGACAATCTAATAAAAAAATTGCTTAACCCTGAGAGGGTTTATCTGTGTATTGAAAACTTTGATAGTGCTAAATTCAACATGTTTAAGTTGATACTACCAATCGTTTGTTCTTTATGTTATTTGTGATATACATGTACTGTTAACCTGCACAAGAATGTAAGGATATACAGTGAGGAACAGAAGTATTTGAACACCCTGCGATTTTGCAAGTTCTCCCACTTGGAAATCATGGAGGGGTCTGAAATTCACATTGTAGGTGCATTCTCACTCTGAGAGACAGAATTTAAAAAAAAATTCAGGAAATCACATTGTATGATTTTTAAAGAATTTATTTGTCTTGCACTGCTGAACATAAGTACCATATTTTTCGCTCCATAAGATGCACCTGACCATAAGACGCGCCTAGGTTTTACAGGAGAAAAACTAGAAAAAATATTCTGAACCAATGGACTGCAGACATAGTACAGGAAGTGACCAGACACTGCGGACATAGTACAGGAGATGACCAAACACTGCGGACATAGTACAGGAGATGACGAGACTGCAGACAGTACAGGAGATGACCAAAGACTGCAGGCACAGAACAGGAGAAGGACCAGAGACTGCGGACACAGTACAGGAGATGACCAGAGACTGCGGGGACAGTACAGGAGATGACCAGAGACTGCGGACATAGTACAGGAGATGACCAGAGACTGCAGACATAGTACAGGAGATGACCAGAGACTGCAGACATAGTACAGGAGATGACCAGAGACTGCAGACATAGTACAGGAGATGACCAGAGACTGCGGGGGGGACAGTACAGGAGATGACCAGAGACTGCGGACACAGTACAGGAGATGACCAGAGACTGCGGACACAGTACAAGAGATGACCAGAGACTGCGGACATAGTACAGGAGATGGACCAGAGACAGAGACTGCGGACATAGTACAGGAGATGGACCAGAGACTGCGGACATAGTACAGGAGATGGATCAGAGACTGCGGACATAGTACAGGAGATGGACCAGAGACTGCGGACAGTACAGGAGATGACCAGAGACTGCAGACAGCACAGGGCATGACCAGACACTGCGGACCTTTAGGGAGGGAGGGGGAGCGGGTACCTGAATTTGACAGGTACCCGCTCCCACCTCCAAGGAGTTCTCCTTCTTATACTGTGGGCACCTGACTTTGACAGCCGGGTGCCCACTGCGCATGCGCGAGAAGCGCTGCGCTTTGTGAATGGCCCGGCATCTTTTGGGACCTGTCATGTGTCCCAGAAGACACCGGACCATTCACAAAGCGCAGCGCTTCTCGCACATGCGCAGTGGGAACCCGGCTGTCACAAATGCTGGGGTGGGAAGAAGCCGGCGCGGGAAGACTACAGCGCTGGACCGAGGAACAGGTGAGTTCCTGCCGCAGAGAACAGCTGAGCGGCCGGCCCGGTATTCTGACATGGTGGCGGCGGAAATACGGGACCACAGAGAACAGCTGAGCGGCCGGCCCGGTATTCTGACATGGTGGCGGCGGAAATACCGGACCGGCCGCTTTATATTCGCTCCATAAGACGCACTGACATTTTCCCCCCTTTTTGGGGGAGAAGAGTGCGTCTTATGGAGCGAAAAATACGGTATTTGAACACCTGAGAAAATCAGTGTTAATATTTGGAACAGAAGCCTTTGTTTGCAATTACAGAGGTCAAACGTTTCCTGTAGTTCTTGACCAGGTTTGCACACACTGCAACAGGGATTTTGGCCCATTCCTCCACACAGATCTCCTCTAGATCTGTCAGGTTTCGGGGCTGTCGCTGAGCAACACGGAGTTTCAGCTCCCTCCAAAGATGTTCTATTGGATTTAGGTCTGGAGACTGGCTAGGCCACTCCAGAACCTCGATATGCTTCTTATGGAGCCACTCCTTGGTTATCCTGGCTGTTTGCTTCGGGTCGTTGTCATGTTGGAAGACCCAGCCATGACCCATCTTCAATGCTCTGACTGAGGGAAGGAGGTCGTTGCTCAAAATCTCACAATAAATGGCCCCATTCATCCTCTCCTTAATACACTGCAGTCGTCCTGTCCCCTTCTCAGAAAAGCACCCCCAAAGCATGATGTTACCACCCCCATGCTTCACAGTAGGGATGGTGTTCTTGGGCTGCAACTCATCCTTTTTCCTCCAAACACGACGAGTGAAGTTTAGACCAAAAAGTTCTACTTTGGTCTCATCTGACCACATGACTTTCTCCCATGCCACCTCTAGATCATCCAGATGGTCACTGGCAAACTTCAGACAGGCCTGGACATGTGATGACTTGAGCAGGGGAACCTTCCGTGCAATGCATGATTTGAAACCATGACGGCGTAGTGTTCTACCAACTGGGACCTTTGAAGCTGTGGTCCCGGCTCTCTTCATGTCATTGACCATCTCCTCCCTTGTAGTTCTGGGCTGATTCCTCACCTTTCTTATCATCAGTGATACCCCACGAGGTGAGATCTTGCATGGAGCCCCAGTCCGAGGGAGACTGACAGTCGTCTTTAGCCTCTTCCATTTTATAACAATTGCTCCAACAGTTGATCTATTTTCACCAAGCTGCTTGGAATTGCCCCCGTAGCCCTTTCCAGCCTTGGGGAGGTCCACAATTTTGTCTCTGGTGTCTTTTGACAGCTCTTTGGTCTTGCCCATGGTAGTAGTTGGCATCTGACTGACTGTGGGGTGGACAGGTGTCTTTAAAGAGCTCAGACAGGTGCTACTAAGTTAGATTAATGAGTGGAGTAGAGGTGGACTTTTTAAAGGCACAGTAACAGGTCTTTGAGAGACAGAATTCTTGCTGTTTCTTAGGTGTTCAAATACTTATGTTCAGCAGTGCAAGACAAATACATTCTTTAAAAATCATACAATGTGATTTCCTGAATTTTTTTTTTAATTCTGTCTCTCAGAATGGGAATGCACCTACAATGTGAATTTCAGACCCCTCCATGATTTCTAAGTGGGAGAACTTGCAAAATCGCAGGGTGTTCAAATACTTCAGTTCCTCACTATACATCATTTAATTTCAGGGAAGTAAATGTCATCCTAGTTATAGGTACAATATTACCATATCTACAATATAATGTTAGTTTTGCATACAACTTCACAATTGCTGTTATCTTCATTTACAATGTCATGTAACTTATACTGGTCATGTGCTATGTAACTTTTCAAAAACAGAAAGTGAGTATAAACTGTAATTCAGAATTGTCAGAATGTATATTCAGTCATGGATATTGTGGACATTTTATCACCATGGATATTCTGGATCTGTAATCATTATTGATGATAGATTTTGTCTTCTGTTTCAACTTTAGTGCTGTTCTTACTGTTGCAATGTTGCTAGTGTAATGGTTCGACATCTGAAATACGCTGAGACTGGTGACCTACACAATATCCCCACCTGGACACAGGAGCTGAACTGCACAGATTACAGGGATTGGTGACAACCATAGAACACCAGGGCTGAACACCCCTGTAGCCAGGAATAGACCAGTGCTGCAGTTTGGGAGGGACCTCTGCTAGACCAATTCCACCACTATATCCAGAGAAAAACAAAAATAATAAGGAATGATTATGACTACATCCAGCTAGCAACAAACATCATTGCTACAGCGAGAAAGTGATCACCATCATAATCATTTATAGACCCTTCAAGTGGCCTCTACAGCACTGCCTTTACAGCTGTAGGGTCCGCATCATCCAAAGGTGTCCGTTTATGACACACAGAATAGCTGAGATTCAGAGGATCACAGCTATTCTCTGGTCATTCACAGTTTATGACACCCAGGAGAACATGTTCAGCCCTTCTCTGGAGATCTGTGTTCTCCCTCCAGATTCTCCAGCCCAGAGCTGGAGAATCGGAGGGACCGAAAACTAAGCAGAGATAATTTACCTCTGTTTAGTAAACTGATCTTTTTCTGTAATCTCGTGAGATTATAGTAAAATCAGCCGTTTTCCAGAGTATGTAGACCGTTCTCCAGCATTTGGAGATCGTTCTCCCTTCGTTCGGAGAACTGCTTCATAAACTGCATTCACAGGAGAACTGTGTTCCCCCGAGAATGCCGGAGAACTGAGCAGCGATCTATTACCGCTGGTTCATAAACGGACACCATAGTTTGATGGACCACACCCAACCATTTTAGACAAAGCCAACTCTGACGTTTTCACTTAGTGTATCCCTAGTATAGTTTAGGACACATTTCTTGATTCCTAATTACAGTATAATACCACATTTCACTGTGGCATAATTATTGTAAACATTCTTTTTATTAAACATGTGATTTCGAACAGACAAACTGAAAGTGGAGCCCAGAACAGCCATTTCCAAAGAAGTTAGAAAAAACTTGAAACAAAATTACATAGTGCTTTGATTGTGGTCTCCAATCATTTAACTGCCTTTATTTTGTTAAGGAGTAGCTTGTATACTGATGGTCTCAGAATTGTGAGAATGTGGTATGATTCTGAATCCATTTACTCTTCCACTTAAATTGGGGATGTGGAAAGGTAAAGGGGTATGGACTGAGTGGAGGGGGGGTGGGGGTGGGGGGGCGTGAGGAGGAGGAGCTATCAAGAGGCATGAGGTTAGGGCTCTAGAGAAGTGAGATTGGGAAAGGGGAGTGATGAGTACAGGGGAAGCAGAGAGAGCCTGGTGAAGGGAGGGTAGGTGGGGACAGGGAGAGGGGGGAACCATTGTGGCATAATTGTGTATATGAACTATATGTACTGTTAAGGCACAGAGCATTGAGAAGTGTTGAGAAATCTGGCTCTATGCAGCTTTATGTCTATAGAGTCAAGGATTTAACAACAACACCCCAAAACAACTGATTTTGAACTCATTGTTGCTGAAATGGCAGCATGAATGTATACATTATGACAGATTTATACATATATGTAAATGTTCTACACTACCAGTCTTGCTTCCCATATAGCAGATTTGCTTTAAGGAATCAGTGTTTTTCCAGCCACTGTATATCTTGAAAGATAATTCATGTGCTGGAAGTTATGAATGTTTTCTAAACCAATGGTTGAAGTATTAAAACTGTCCATCATAGTAAATTGACACTCTTAGCTACTTAAGCAATGATTTGCTTTAAAATAGTTGCTTATGTTTACAGTGCATTGGATTATAGGCAAATCAAACTTAAAATGCTACTAAACCCAGGACTCTGCATTTACTATATCTGGTCTCCCGCAGCACACAGAACATAGAAATGCAATTATTTTAGTAAATATAAACTGCTAAATACCTTTTCTCATCAACAGTATATAGCAATCTTGTGATTTCTATCAGTGTCCAGCTGAGCACTGCGTAAAGCTTATAGGAGGAATTTTAATTCTGCTCTGACTGTCCTATGAGGCTGCATAACCCCTGACCTTCTGTTTGGACAGCACTGATTGGCTCTTTGCTGATCACATGCACCCTTCCAAAGAAAAGAAAATCCTCTGGCAATACACCTTAAACTGAGCATGTGCAGACTGACTCCTAGAGCTCTGTACTATCATCAAATGGATTGGGGACAGTAGAAGAAAGGAAGGAGACAGGATCAAACAGACTTTTTACACAATGCCAAGGACTAACTCCTTAGGTTCCACAGTGAGTATAACAAACTTGCTTTACTGCATATACAGACTGCTTTTACTGTTGTGGGTTTAGTAACACTTTAAAAGTGCAAAAGTAATGTTGTGAACTGTAACATACGTCCTTATCCCTCACTATCTCCAAGTATATGTACTTGGCAATTACCTGGAGAAAATGCTGCTCCTGGGCCCCCTCAGTACTGGACACATATATGATAGCCTAGGATTTCAGATTTACTGATCTTTTTTTTATCAGCAGAGTTTTTATGCATTGCAACAAGACTGCGTTATATTAAAATCTGAATTTCTGCCTTCCTAAACCAAACACTGTTTTGATAATGTTAAAATAATCTCGCCCCACAAAACCACTGTCAGAAAGGTGCAAAATAAGTAATTGTGCCATTTATTAGGACATCCAAAAATATTATAATTATACTATGTATAATGACCACCAATGTCTATATTTTATTTTTTTTAACTGTAAAGTTGTGTGGGTACATGCTATTAATTATCTCTCACAGCTTTCTCCAAGGGCTAATAAATGAGAGAATCTGTAGATACATTTAACCTTTAATCATATTTATGTGGGAATCCTGCTGATGTCTAGTCTTTCTTTATATTACAAATCCCTGACCTTGACATGTAGAGGCACTTAGCACAGTGGGGGTATACATGCTAAATATAGAGAAAAGGGTTACATAGCTTGATTTATATATTTTATCATAATACGT